CAAGTGCAGGGGCTCATGATTGACCCGTCAAAATTAGCCAATAAATAGTGGAACCATAGTCCCCGTACGTGGATCCCTGGTTTCCCTCTTAAGAGCAAGTCAAATGCACACATCATTATGGTGCAAAGGGGTGCTCTATTTATGTACATGTACACGTATCCCTCTATATAGGATTGCTTCCCAAAATGTGGCTGCCATATATACATGCCTTGTGGAAGTTTTGTTGAGGATTTGGCCCTCGCTCTTAGAGGCCTTTCTTCCGTACATAGGAGACCACACAACTCTCCTAGCTTGCAAACAACGGCCTTGGGCATTTCTTCGACGTCAACAAGGGATGACCAACAATAAACCCTCAAAAGGTAGTGCCACATGCTTAGGGGGCAAGGGATTTGGACATGACTCGGGTGTAGACCGCCCAACCTAGGCCAGTCAGCCATTGAACAACCCCAATGTAGTACACAAATCACTATAAACAATTTTAGTTACATGCTCTAGGCCTTTAAAGGCCACAAACCCCAATAGTTGGTACGAAAGCTACCAGAATCCTCTCATTGGGGCTTGAACGTAGAACCCAGAAAACAACTGTTCCACATGCCATCATTCGGGCTAGTCAACAAATTAAGCAAACCAATTAAGTGATGCTTTCTAATCTTCTCTAAAAAGGTAAAACTCCTTTGGTGGAGAAAAACTTGTCTCAAGAACGATTCTCCCTTCTTTTTTTTTTTTTTCCTTTTTTTTTTAACTTTGAACTTTCTTTGCAATTTGCTGTATTTCTTCTTCTTCACTTTTGACTCTTGTGACAATTGGTGTTATTCCACCATTTGCCTTAATTCTCTCTCCTTGAACCTTAGTGTAGTCACAACCTTGACCCCTCATATCCCTATAAATTTTTTCCCCTAAAAAATGTTATCGGTTGAATGAATCCATGTAAGGAGCTCATTGAATTTCAGACTCAATGAAATTTTAAGATTTCAATGTGAATGCCTTGATCTTGAAATTTTACGATTTCAATGGCAATGCCTTGATCTAGATTTCTCATTAATGCTCAAATCAACTTGCTTTTATGCGGTTGTCTTCAATCTTAGTATCTTTATTCTAATTAAAAAAAAATTAATGTATTCAATGTTGCCTTAGGTGGATGTTCTATTGTGCCTTAATCTCCTAGTTCCTCATCATAGATGTGTTCATTGACAAAGTTGATAAAGTGGTTACTTTTCTTCATATACGTCTTCACAAAAGATGCTCGTCAAATGGATTATTTGGGGAAATTTCACTTAAAGTGACAATCAAACCGTGCACGGTTCCTATGGTTACTCCTCTCAGGCCTCTTTGAAGTAGTTTTTCTAAAGGTTTATGTCCTCCAAACTCCCTTTGTGGAAAATTTTCTCTGTCTTTTGGGGACATTTGCTCTTTCATTAGGATGATTTTGACCTTCATGGCGATGTTGATCTCCATCATTTCAGTTTTGATGATTCCGTGTCTTGCAAGAATACTAGTCATTGCTTTAGGCCCTTAACCAATCTTGTTAGATGGTTCATTTCTTCTTGCATTGGTTTGAGGCTTTTTATCTGGTCTTAGCGTACTTTAATTGCCATAGCGTCTGTTACTACATACCAGTATTATGAAAGAGCAACCTTCTCTAATACCAATTTATGTAGCATGACGTAGTCAAATAACCAAGATTAAGGGAAACATTAACCGAAAAGAAAGATGAATGTAGTGGAGCTCGAACAGTGGCTTCCTTAGAAGCTAGGGCGTAAGCATCTCTGAGAGTCTCTCTCTAGATAGAACTTCAAAATCTAGAAATAAAAACTAAGCCATGCATGACGAGATATTTATACTAGTAATTTCTTATCTATTCCCTAGTGACTTCTTATCAATTCCTGATTTAAATAAATCTAACCATCCATAAAGAAAAACATAAAAATACCGAAAACACCTAAAGTAGAATAAATCCCAAGCTACGACTAAACCCTTGTCCTATAACGAAGTTCGACATTCTTTATGGATCTTGTCACTAATGGCTTGAAATTTGATGCTTAAGACCACCAAATCTGGAAAAATATGCAGATATAGGAATTGTAGAGCCTTGACGATGGCTTTGTAAAGAGCTCTAGAGTGCATCCAACAAATGCTTGGGTGGCTTCTTGGAAGCTGATTGCATCATATAGTATATGTTACTGTACATTACGGGACGTAAGGATTAACTTGCTCAAACAAGTATTTATCAGCTTCCCATAACCATCCTCAACATGATGTTGTGCTCTTAGTGAGACGACATGCTGTGGTAGATTCCTACACCATGATTGTTATATATCATTGTTATGCAGTTACTGTAACTCTTGCACATGGGATACATGACATTGTCTTGTGAGAGGTTGTGCATAAACTGCTAATCAGTATCATAATGGGGTTTTTGCTGTCTCTATCGCAAGTGGCATGTGTTCTTTATAGAGCCTTAGCATATTGGCTTCAGGTGTAATACACAATTACTTTTATATCATATGCATGCGCCATGGGGCAACCATCGTATTAGTATCTTGAGTTGGATGATAGCAACCTGGAGCATTTCATAACCACTTACCCCAAAGAATTCATACGTATGGTCTTTCATGGGTCTGTTGAAGATGTCTTGGATCCTTGAGTTGTCAATAATGATGTGGAAGAATAGTGACAATGATTACTAGTTTGTGGAAACCCCAAAATCTCTTTAGAGACCTAATATCATGTCGAGGAAGAATAATGACAATGATTTACTACTTTTTGGAAACCCCAAAATCTCTTTGTAGACCTAATATCATGTCGAGGAGCATTTTATACTTTTCTTCATCCTGCTGTGAAATGCCTTGATCTTTATCATGGCGAGGAGCATTTTATACATTTCTTCATCCTGCTGTGAAATGCCTTGATCTTCGAAGAATTTATTTTTATGACATCTTTGATCATAGTTAAAATTAGATGTGGTGTACTCATAGTTACCGGAACCTTGGGAGCAAGGTCACGGTCCCACCCTAGGAACTCAATCCCGTGGTTCCTCTAAGGGATCTTCGAGGGATCTAAGTTTAGAGAAATAAGGATTTTGCTCCCTATAAAATGGATCTCGGTCTACATTCTTGTAGGATCTCTTCAAGGAGAGGAGCTACACTATTAATTGAACTACTGGTCCTCTCCTTGGTATTGTAGATTTATTTCTTTAGAATATGTTAAACTGTGGTGCATATCACATCGTGGTATACTAGAACTATGGAACTATGGTATTAGAAAGCTACAGTTTATTATTATAGCAAGCCCATTTATGATATTATTAAACTATGTTGTTGTAGTAAATTGGAGTATGATAGCTATGGCATTGGTAATAAGCTAAGGCGTATGATAATGGATTGAGCAGGCATTGGTTGGATCCTAATTTTCATATATTATTAATTTATCTCGTTTGATGTATAGTAGAGCTTAGATCCCTCCAAGTCAAAACCTCGATCTTAGAGACATAGGATCTCGCTACCAGGTATGCTAGGATCTAGCTCTTTAAATTGTTGCGCTGATCCTAACCCCCAGAGAGCTTCCACCCTAAGGCGGTTCGGATTTCTCTGAATCGATCCCGCTCCTGAACCCGCTCTCGCCTCCAACAGCTATGGGTTTACTTGATATGTAGCTAAAATGGACCACATGTTTTTCTAATTGAAGCTATGAATAACACTAATTATCTCCATACAATTTATGTTATTCTATGAATGAATTCTATATATTGATCATGATCATGTGCAAGAATGCGCCAATGCATCGGTGATCAGGGTGATGGGCCGGGGTTCCATTTCTACCCCCTTTCCTCATTGAACGTCCAAAAAAAAAAAAGGAATCATGATTTTGACGAAGATGTGCTTAATTTTTTTAATAAAATTATTATTTGGCATAAAGTGGGTTACCCCCCCCCCTTCCCCCCCGGTAAAGGCTATTCTAACCTACAATCTTGTCTCAAGTTGGCCTAAGGGCGGAAGAATCTTGTGGAAGGCGACTTTAGCTGCAACTATTTGGATAGTTTGGCTGGAAAGAAATTCAAGAATCTTCCATGGCTCAAAACTTCAAACTCCGGCACTCTCGCACAAGGTAATCTCTCTGGTTACCTTCTGGGCCTCTAGCCACAAGTTTTTCGCGGGAATCTCAAGGACTCTTTTCCTATCTCAATGGGGAAATATTCTCCACCACCAACCACAGAGGGTAACAAGGCCTAATAACTGGCTACCACCACCACAAGGTAGTATCAAGTTAAACTTTGATGGGTGTTCCCTAGGGAACCCTGGCCCAGCAGGGGCAGGAGGGGTTTTTCGAGACCATGAAGGCAATATACTCCTAGCAATTTCTGAATACCTTGGTCTCAAGGACTCTCATCAAGCAGAAGCCTTAGCCCTCCTTTTAGCATTGAAACATTTCAATCCCTCTTGGGGCTCACATCTTATAGTGGAAGGAGACTCAAAAAATGTCATACAAGCGATTCACCATGGCACCTGACTCCAGTTTTTGACGAGGTTCATCACATTTATAGGGCTATGGATGTCTCATGGCAACATACTTGGAGGATGTCCAACGATACCGCAGACCGTCTGGCGAAAGAGGGAGCTAGAAGTCAGAGACAGGTCGCTCAAGCCTGGTCCACATTATTTTTTGCGCTGGACCAGTGGAACTTAACTTGAAGTTCTTGTACTTACTATTTTCTTTTGGCATTCTTGGTCTTTTTGAAAACTCACTGTGTACGAGCACTCTTATAAGCCTTTTTTTTGCAAATTCCTTGTAAACCTTGTAAGGGAGCAATCCTATGAGCCCATTTTTTTGGTACAGGGTCTATTGACCTATTTTTTACCGAGAGTTCAGTCTAGAGGGTTCTGTCAGATTAAACCCAAAACTGTACTCTATCTCCCTATAGTAATAACAAAGTCAACATTTATCATTTTTTTTTTTTTAAAAATAAAATTAACTGAGATTGATCTGTTCTGTTCTATTTGTAGGTATGTAAAGCACTTTCTTCTTTGCAACGTGATTGGGATGCATTTACAACCATAAGTAGCACTTTGAACTTAGTTGATAGCACTTTTCCTAATGAAAAGAAAGAGGAGCTTCAGTCATTACGTGCTAGTGAGTATTACTAACTTTTCTATTCTATATATCTAATTAATCCAATTATGGCTAGTATTCTCCCTTCAAAAGTTCAAAAAATCAAATTATTTATTTGCTTATATTTATCTTTAATATGATGGCCAATGTTATCTCTGAAATCCGGATCATGTTGTTTGTCTTCTTTGAGATTTCAAAACGGCTGCAGTTTCCACTATTAGTCAATATTTATCATGATGCAAACTTTGTCATTGTTACCGATGTAAAAGTTTAGGGAATCAATGTGTTTGTTTCTTATGTGTGCATGCATTGTTGCGTACGAAGCATATCCGCCCAATTCTTGGAAAGGTCATTTATGTCCTTTGAAATTTAAAAATAGCTGCATGATTCTTTAGTTTCTAAGTCTAGCCATACAAACGTATAAATCATTTTATCTAAATAACGGATCCAGCCTTTTTAGGTTTGTTAAAACATTGACCTTGCCCCCTCATCATCATCATCATCATCAGAGCCTTATCCCAACTATTTAGGATCGGCTACACAAATCTTGTTTTGTCAGTTTGCTCTATCAAGGGCCATACCCACAATGAGACCATAAGTCTCCATTTTGTTCCTCCTCATAATTTCTTTATTATACTGGAGATTTCTTGACAAATTTTTCTTTCAAGATTATTTTTATAAGTTGGTTGGGACTAGGTGTTTATTTTAAAATTTCTTTTATACTTTGGGGCTTATGTCTTGATTAATTTGCATAAGATAGAGTGAATGAGGTGATAGCATAATGTTCATGTTATTGAGTTCCGTGATGTCACAAGATGGACAAGCTTTTATATGACGAACTATAGGAACTGGTGAATGTACTAGAAGAGATTAATGAGATTGTTAGTTCCTTGGAGATATCCTTACATTTGAATAGACATGCCCATAAGGTTAACTGTTGACTTGCAATGGGCTGTAAAAACATCTTTTTGTTTGGGATGCATACCCCCATTGCAATATTGGTGATGTATGATTAATAATTTTATGGTGAACTATATGACATATTCTAACATTAAAAACCCCAATAATAGTAGGTTAAGGATAGAGCATGTTACAAACCCCAAATCGCAAGAAGAAACCTCACGGTCTCATCCATGATCAAACTTTTTCTTTTTATCAAGGGTAATTAGGTCATCGAACAAGTGCTTAATGGAAATTTGTGTTTAAGAAAATGAGCATTTGTTAGATGGTGTTATGCCAATATCGCCTTTGAAATAAAGTTGATCTTTTCAAGTGTATACCTTTGTTTGTTGGTGAAATGTTCAATTGGGTCCCTGTGCTAACATCTCACCATGAACCTCACATCATTAATGTAGCTATCCTCCAATTTTGATGAGATTTCTTGAAGATTTATTTTGTTATTTTTCATTTTTGGGAGGATGGACTATGTCCTCTTTAACAAAGATTTGTGTGGGCAATATGTATGTGATATTTATTTGCAGCCACTAATGGTTGAAGATATTTCTAATTCTGAGGAATGCATTATATTTACATTTGTGCAATGCACGTGCCTTGAACTTGTATGCATACACATGCACATTTCTACACACACACATTTATATTTTTTTATGTTGGGAAGGGGGGGGGTTAGTACCTTCAAAGTTTTAATGCAATGATGGGGTCATTCAGAGCTTAAATTTCTTGCAAACATTTCTACATCGTGAACCACTGTGTTACTGGAGGTTTGAGAGAGATAGAGCAGTACTTCAAAGTCTTGATGCATTGATGAGGTCATTCAGAGCATAAATTCTTGCAAACATTTCTCCATTGTGAACCACTGTGTTACTGGAGGAGGTTGGGGTAGAGAGAGAGAGAGAGAGAGAGAGAGAGAGAGAGAGAGAG